TCCCAGGAGACGGCCGGGATGGAAGATGTTCAGCGAGTACATTGCGATCGTGATCATACCCGCGTCGAAGATGTCTGGAGTGTTCGTGATTTAGTTGTCGATATACAAAATGGTCAGATAGCGGGAAACGTACTGAACAGGGCTTGAGTATGAATGACGACGCCGTGCCAGCCGTCAGCGAGCTCCTGTGATGAGGCTTAGTGATGAGATAATGTGTGTCAATGGAAGGTCTACGTACAATGGTCCTGTAGATCGAGCTTTGACATGACTGATATTAGAGGCCATGGAGCGACGAAATGGACATCGAACTCACCGAATGTAGATGCAGACACCGCTGATGATGAGGGCCAGGATCATGCGCTTTGTCGACTTGTCCAATGTGTATCCTGTCCTGGTGACCTCCCGCAGTGGCCTGTCGTGGAGGTAGCGCCAGAGGAACTCGATCGCCAAGGTCATATACACAGTTATTGAGACTACCGTGGGTTAGAATTGGTAAACGTCTGCGAGTAGGCTGGCTTACAGAGTTGGAGGACAATCCCAGTCAACATGATGTTCGAACCCTACATAGCCGACAAGAATGAGTCAATGCACAGACATCACTGTTGATAACGACACACCAGATCAACCTGACTTTGCTTCGTCCCTGTAGCCATTGCACCGCCGAGCGCTTGCACAACGAGACAGACGAAATCCTGAACAGAATATGGTCAGATTATCGGACGAGTGCATAGGGCATTGATAGTCTCACCGATGTCGTGAATATGATCGTGTCTATTGGAGAAAGCATCAGACATCTCGGTCCCAAGTGCAGGACGGTGGGTGCTTACACCACTTGGCGTTTATGCGACTGTAGCCTTCCCCCAGACGACGAATGATCTGGCCCAAGATGATGAAATTGCATGCGACAAAGGGTGTAGGCGCAATTATTGTGGCCACAATCCTATCATCCCATAGCCGTTAGCCATCACGCTGGCCCAAATTCCGAAGACAAGATACTGACTGGATGAGGTACGGGTTGCTGGCTGCAGGGTTATGCGAGGACAAGAGACGTCCGATCCAGCCCGTGACCTCTAGAGCACCAGTGATGCATGCTGTCGCGAGCATCCACCAGAGGCGACTATGAAGTGCCTGCACAAAATGTGCGACTGTGATGGCACTATCAGCTATTGTAATGGAGCAAGAGAGCCCGTACTCACGTGTGGATACAGAAAACAGAATCACGTAAAGATAACAGATCCACGCAGTGGGGACATATCCATACTGAGAAGGAGCCGCAGGCTCTATGACTAGCACAGAAACGTCTGAGTAGTGCATCATGTACTTAGACAGAAAGAACCCACATTGAGTAATCCAAGACATTGACCCGGCGCAGATGTAATTAAAGGCGTAAAGATGAAGTTAAACAAAAGTAAGAAGAGAAAGTGAAGGTGGAATGCCATGTTCGTCGTCTGAGTGCTTATAAGAGGGGTCGGCAAGCGCTAAGAGCACCGCAAAGTACGGTATTGCTTCACGCAGAAGACATGTTCTGACAGATACTGCGATCAAGGCATGCCTTCGCTAAGGTTTGCTCCAGAAGAGATACGACGTAGTACGACAAATTCCCCATTCAAGTATTTGACTGAAAAGATCGAGAGCAGCCTTGCTCTTCGAAGCTATTCATATTTTTATTCACTCAAAAATGCATTCCATTGGGGAGAGTGCTTACATTTAGGGCGTTGGCCCTTGAAAGCCGCAGGAACGATGACTGCGATGAGGATGTGTATCATTGTCAGCTGTGGCGTCAATTGCGCAGGACAGCCCATGCATGACAGATGGTGCATTGCTGACGTCGAGGATGCGGCTGCGGCTCATGGGATGCATGTACGTTCGACTGTGTGCAGCGACTCGGACGGAGCGCAGGCTGTCACCGTGATGGGCGTTCGATCGGAATCGGCCAACTTGACAGCCACCGCATTAAATAGCTACAGCGACAGTAATGCTGCATACCTATTACCATGTCACTTTCAGAGGCCTGTTACGATATACTCTAATGGCGATCACAGTCATCTTGAGCTGTGAACGGTTGTGTCAGTCTGCAATGTCTGATCACGGGTGCAGATTTACTATGCTTGAAGCTTTCATTATATGATGATTGAGTTTGATGACCAGGCAAGGATCAGTGAAACCATCATACTTGTAGTACTCAGGGCCGGTGGACAGCCTAGCTAAGTTAACTCCCCTCCGACTCGAGTGATTGCTATCTCCCATGCGGGTACGGGGTGGCCTAAGTACTCATGTTCTTATGGTGTTTTGCATCATTGCGCTCGGCTTTTCACGTAGAACTAGGGCAGATTGACATCCGCGCTGGCGATTATTTAGCCGTATTAGGCACCAGGGGCAGCGCGGATGTGAGAGGTATTGGCGACGAAATATTAGCAAACAGAATAGATGCTGGCACTAGCAGGTATTATTATACGGAAATGCATGTCTACTCTAGTCTCTGTTAGCAGAGGCTCGGGCTCGGATCTAAGTGAGCATCACCCTCTGTGTTGAAGTCGGAAAGCTCACGGTGATCGAGTTCGTCCTGCAGGCCTCCCCGAGCCTCCTTCCATATCATTGAAGCCCGTTACGAATACCTAATCACGTTCACACTGTATGTCGGGCCTGGTGGCGCTGAGACAGAATTCTTGAATGTGTCTTCTGGGTGAGTGTTCTACGAGTATATCCCAAATCGTGTCAACACAGCGACAACCGCCCGTCGTCATTAAGTATTTCGTTGCGACTGGACTGTGTGTCGGTAAGCAGCTGCCACTCCACGCTCGAACTCGACGCGCTTACTAGTTATCGCCGTCTAGGTATGGTCGTTCATCGCATTTTGTGAGCCAACAAGAAAAGCTCTGAGTCCTTCACACGAGCTTTCAGAAGAGAGAGACAGGTCAAATCTATTGGCGCTGCGATAACATCATTTGTATCAACCTGCGGAGTAAACGCAAGCGCTCACAGCGCACTCAGGGGCGTTGCTATGCTTGTCCCAATGAGTACGAATTTGGACACTGGGACCGCTCGCATGGAGATTGCGGAGCGCGGAAAGCTGTGAAATCAAGACGCCCTCAAGCATAGAGGTTGTCAATCTGAACAGCTTTCAATTAGTATGCGACTTGTCTGGACCGTCATCAGATCTTCTCAATGCGTATAAGTGGAATGTGAAGTGTTCCTTATAACACTACACATATATTCTACCTGCAGTGTATGTGCATGATACTTACAGTTCTCTGCTCGAAGTGCGTAAGTTCTGACCCCTCGTCCCGCCCTCGATGTGCAGATATTCTTCCGTTGAGTAATCTCACTTGCAGCGGTTCAAGTTCATGATTTGAGGTATCTGCATAGAAGCGACATGCTGCCCGGAGCCCACAAGTACGGGCCGTCCTACTGATCAATGTCCATAGCAGCATGCGCAAAACTATCTTCTTCTGGTCCACTCCAGTGTCGTAGGTCGAAGATATCTCCATCGCCTTCTTGTCGGCGGATTCTAAGGTGGCGTAGCGTAAGGAGAAGACAAGAAGCAAGAATGCAGGACGCACTCGTCGAATAGTGCGATGGTCTCTTGGTCATCATCCGCATCCTCATTAGCATCCGGTAAGATTCCCAATGCCCGCATCAGCAGCCTGCTAGACCGGCTGCTCGCGGGCGCTACAGGGCGGACCTCTTTCGGCGTCAGGGACATGTCTTCCGCGCTTGGAGAGATGGCAGTGGGGCTGTGCAGAACGACGTCACGCTCAATGCCCGACGTGACGACATACTGGAGATGCGGATGCATCAGGGCAGTGTTGACAATGGATTCATGACCTACATGCAAACATGCGGTCAGAAAGTTCAAGCATCAGAAATCAAGTGCATGATACGAACCGGTCAGCCTGTACATTGGGGTGTCTAGATTGACCGGAACATGCCGTGGCTCATCTGGGGAGGAAGCAAAACCTGCAAGATCGATCGCTTGTAAGCTCTCTAATCCTGATTAAGTCACATATCCACGAACGAGACCCACCAACGATATTATCATTTCCCAGTCCTGACCAAGTGTCTGAGGAAATCTCTTGTCTCCGTTCTACTAAATCGGAAATCTCTGGGATCTCCCACATGTAGGCCGAGAAATCATCTGAGCCAGCGCAGTAGTATCGGTCGTCGTGCAGTCCCCCACTGCCAAAAGATCCATGCTATTGTGACGTGAGATGAGAATAGAAATAGGCTCAAGTCTGTTTACCTTGATTGTGCATGAATTACTGTACGTGCCTTCGACCCTCCTCGCTTTACTACACATAGCGACAGGGATCGGATCAGAGAGAGAGTAAATCGTTGGGAGGTGATGCTATCTATTGAATCAACAGGGATCGCGCCATCGGGAGAAGCTACCAGCTTACTAGCATCGTGGCCGTCAGCTTGGTTCCTGAATAATGTGACCTTCGAAACGCGTCCTGTTCCCAACTGGAAATACGTACCTGTGTTGTCGAACGTGACGCTGCTGACTTCAGGATTGCTGAGATGGGAAACGGACGTTTTGGATAGCGTAGTCACGTACTGCTCGCCAATCAGTTATATCGTGACTTCCAGCCAAATGGCAAACATACCGCCTGAACAGTACCATTCTGCCGTCTCTGGGATGACGGCCCGAATGCCATCCGCATGTCCCGAAGACAAAGCCTCCCTTGATAATCGCTCGTCACGAAGAAGTGGGGCATAGTAGGGTGGATCTGGACTCCGGTGAACTCGGCGTCTTGTTGTACAGTTCTCTGTGCTCTGGTATATCGGCTGTCTGCTCGTGTATCATGCAGAATGATGCGCCCATCTTCACTGTTCAAAAATGGGATGAGGACCACTGATTTTACAGCGCTCACACGACCTGCCTGGCACTTAGAAAAATCTCATCTTGTGTTGGATGACACGATATCGCGCGAATACTATCCTGTAATGTTGGGTCAGCTACATTCTAGCGGGTGCGCTCCGTGCATACGCCGTGCTCATAGTATGTCAACGTTGGCTTTTCTGGCAGAGAAGTCCCTGAAGCCAAGAGACGACTCATATCGTACATCAAAATTGTGTTGTCCGTATCTCCTCTGAGAAGCACAACAGATGATAAATGCAGGGAACGCAAAAATGGTTCGGCGCCCATACTCACGAGTAGAGGTATTGGCTACTTGCTGAGAATGCGAGAGCGAACACGTTGGCCTGTGAATTTGTTACAACGGAAGCATAATAACGGTCTTTGACGACTTACCTTATGACCGCAAAATCTACGTGATGGTTGCTGGACATTGTCTTGACAGAAGTCCCATAAGAGGACGTATGGATCTGCCAAAAAGCTCCTGATGAGCGTATGCATCTTGAGCTCCTAGTGTGCATACCATCTCCTGCACTGGCAAGCCATCTTCCTCCACCTGGAGAGAACGCGAGAGCATTTACGCAAGACGTATGTCCGCGTAACCTCCTGTAAGACCAAGCCTCATTAGTTATTATACACCGACTGGAACGGGCAGTCTATAACTTTGAGTACGGGAAGCCCGCGTGGATCTTGAGTTGCAGCAGCCTTTCTCTACTCCGTCTCAGAGACACTGGTCGAGGATGACTTGCGGTCTGCAGATCAAGCATGTTCTTCTTTCGCCAATTACTGCGCGAATACGTTATGTCCGTGATGCATGCATTATTTGCCGAGATTGCAATGCTGAAGTCTGAGCAAAATGAGACAGAAGAACGAATCGGAAATAGCAGAAGTCAAGGACACTTCTCGAGTGGCACCAGTGGATCAGAACTTAGCAGCAGCTCACCCGAGTTTGCATTCAATGTACCGCCTGGCGCCCATTCTGAACGCACGTGAGCGCAGGGTACTCCCTGCCCAAATAGGCAGGATATGCCAGACATAGACGCCAGACACAGACACCAGACATCAGACACGGACACACGCCCTGCCAGACAACGATGCACACCCGAGACTGCTTGTGAATGACAGATACTAGCAATGTGCTTGCGATATATATCATGACTGCAGTGTGACTATAAAGAGGTCAGATATTAATAGTTCAGAACTTATCTGTTAGTACAGCCTTACCACTCTCGATGAAACTTGCACACGCTCTTTTGGCCACAATATTAGATTCCTAAGTACTGTATCCCTCGAGGAAGGAGATAGTCGAGATATCCGTTCGCGGATCGTTCAATCTCCGTGTATTCGTCCCCTGTTTCTCGGGCTGCTCCCATAGTTACAAATTGACGGAGCTTCTGTGCAGATAAGTCTAGGCGCAAAGATAGAGCATCTGTCAAATGTGGGACGCCGTTACGGCATTCAGAGCTAACTTAGCTTACTCGGCGAGGCTTTGAGACAAATGTATTGTACGGAATATTTGCTGCTGAGGCGGAAGCCATGAATACTTAGTCGTCATTACATGGCTTCTACCGCTGTTATCAGACTGGTCTATTCGGCAACGTCATGCTCGGGATGATCTGTTGAACGATTTTCATCCCATCAAAGTCGGGTGCCCCTGGCGCCGCTAATTGAGTGCCAATCACCATATATGTCTAGTATGTTTGAGCTAGTCCGACTACAATTGACATGATGTCTGCGAAGTCCTCGCTTGCTCCCTGTCCCCTATCCTTGAAAGCTTGATGGTCGGTGAAGCGGGTACGACAAATGTCCCGCTAGGACCCACCTGCTTTCTCCAGCATGCCTAGCGACATAACGATCGCCGAGGGGCAGCTCATCGCGCTCTTTATGCAGAGCATTGCGTACGGTGTGCACCTTGTCACCTTCGTGATATGTGTGTCAACGCTCCTCGACCGGCCAAATGGACGGTTGCATTTGATGAGCAGTGCATATGGCCCGTGGCTCCTCATTGCGATCGCGCTGTTCGTGGTCGGGACAATCGATGTGTCCTTCACTTTCTACCACAGCTTGGTGGCGTTCATTTTTTACACGGGCCAAGGAGGTGCGGCACGTGTGTTTGATGACATCTCTAACTGGGTGAATGTCATGAAGGTGATTATTTAGGCTTGACGATCAAAGTGCACATCCTCACTGGGCACACAGAGTGTCTGCTACTTTCTGGGTGGCTTGATATCGGATGCTGCATTGGTACGGATATCTTCGCATGACACGAACAGACCCAATATGTTGACGCGCTCTTGCTCAAGATGTACCGCTGTTGGGCCGTCTGGAACCGTGGGTGGCCAGTTCTTGTGCTGCCCATCTTCATGTGGATGGCGACGCTGGCGGATGTGGGAGTATACCTATTCCTTATTTGCACGCTGCATGAGTCTACGACCATACCTACCGCCGGGAAACTGCGCGTGACTCTGCTATGTTACCTTTCCATCACGATGACATTTAATCTTATAACAACAGGTGCGTCTGAAGCATATGCTTCTCGCACATCAATAATGACGCATGATATTGCAGGCTTGATTGTATGGCGCATCTGGCGAGTGAAAAAGCGCTCTTCGCAGTTTTTCCAGCGGTCATGGAGAGGCAGCGGACGGCTGGACCTCTCTGCAATCAACACGATATTCGTAGAATCTGCGTTGCTGTATACCACGTCTGTTGTGATCACACTCATCACATCCGTGCTGGGTAACAATCTCAGCTACGGATTCTCGGACATCGTACGTTTCGCTCCTTCCTTCCGATGTGATATTTTCACCAAGCTCCTGTAGAGCCTAGAGATGTCGGGAATATGCTTTGATATGATCATCATCCGTATCAGCAAAGGCCTTGCCGCAGAGCAGACGCAAGCATTCGCAGAGACGTCCCCCTCACCGCCGACTGAAGTAGAGCTTACTAGATCATCTACCAAGAGCGATCAGCTTGTTTCAGGCTATACAGGGATTATGGATAGCCATGCGCGCAATGGCGCAGGCGCGAGTGACACAGAGGCGGGACGGTCTTGGATCAGTGCGGAGAGTAGGCGGTAGGATATGTCGGTGAGGTAGCGTATCCTCATTGGCTTTACTGTACATTATAATAATCCAAATTGACCACGACGCTCTCTCGCTAGAATTACGCTGTAGATCTCTGACATATACGCTTCATGCACGTGTACGCATTGAATACTGTATGCAGTTGACACCTCAGAGCCATACACAAAGCGATTTGTCGTTCGGTGGCTCCCTATGATCTTCGACGGAAGAGGCCATGCCTTTCCCTGAATGGCAGCTCACCTACCCGATATAGCTAGGATGGGCTCCGGCGGCTTGTACTTACTTCAGGTTGCGGTCGGACTTGACAGTCATTCCTCCATGATGTCATTCCTGCTCAGTTTTGACCATGTCTTGTGTGCCTTGACTGGGATGTCCACGCATATAAGTATTCTTGTAAACAACACGTGCGTGCGTTCAGTACTCCTTACCCCAAGTGCAGCATGAAATAAATATTTGAACGGGATATTTGTGCAAACGAAGATATCACAAACGATAAGTACGTGTTCGTTCACGCTAGTCGTAGTACTCAATAACATTGGCCCGGGATAGACTACTCTTATTAACTGCAGTGACAGTCACCGACGAATAGATACTAGTACCGTAAGCTTTCTCAACGCACCCACTACTATCCCATTGTTCTACGAGATGAATCTTATCTCTATTCCTTATGAGCTATATAGCAAGAGCACTGCTTGAGACTTCAATATACATCGTCGACCAGGCTGGTTAGCGCTTCAGCGCCCAACATGACGAGTTTCATGAAGCAGTTTCCTTTCTGAGCCGTCGAGAGCGCCGACGCGTCGCTGCCGAGTCGCAGCAGTCCATTCTCAACTTCCCCCTCCCTCTTCGTCCGCAAGGCCTCTGTAATTGCTGTCTTATAGCAAGTAGCAAGAACACTTAAACAGTGGACAGACACCATGGCGGCAACAGGTCCCATTACTCCGCCAGTTGAGGAGGGCAAGTTGCTCAGCGAGTCGCTGAGTACCGTCAAGATACAGGTCCAGCAGATGAAGAGGCATCTGGTTAGTCGCTGCACTGGATTTGTTCAGTGCGAAATGCATCTAAGCCTACTCCCAGGAGCTGGATCAGCTCATGGACGCACTGAAGAGTGCTAGTCTCATGCTGGCTGAACTGCGCACCTCATCGCTCTCACCGAAGCAATACTATGAACTATGTGCGTCTGTCGAGCTCTCACTATCAATCTCACTGACGACTTGCAGATATGGCTGTTTTCGATGCTCTTCGTCACTTATCGAATTATCTATACGAAGCTCATACCCAGGGCCGACATCACCTGGCAGACCTCTACGAGCTTGTACAATATGCTGGGAACATCGTGCCCCGCCTCTATCTCATGATCACCGTTGGTTCCGTCTACATGTCTATTGCAGACGCACCAGTGAAGGAGATCATGAAAGACATGATGGAGATGTCGCGCGGTGTCTTGCACCCTATCCGAGGATTATTCCTTCGGCACTATCTCAGCGGGCAGACAAGGGATCACCTACCAGTTGGCATTGACCCAGGGTACGTCGTGAGAGTTCTACAATGCGCATCTGCTCAATGGTTTCAGACCCTGCGGCAATCTGCAAGATTCCATCTCATTCGTGCTGACGAATTTCATTGAGATGAACAAGCTATGGGTTCGACTACAACATCAGGGGCACTCGCGTGACCGTGAAAAGCGCGAGTTGGAGCGCAAAGAGCTGCGCATACTTGTTGGCACGAACCTCGTCCGTTTGAGCCAGCTCGATGGCGTAGACCTCAACATGTATCAACAAATTATCCTGCCCAGCATCTTGCAGCAAGTCGTGAGCTGCAAGGATGTCATTGCCCAGGAATACCTTATGGAAGTTGTCATCCAGGTATGCGATCGCGCAGACATCATGAATACACACGCTGACATTCGTCTAGGTGTTCACAGACGAGTTCCACCTGCACACGCTTGGGCCATTTCTCTCTGCAACAGCTCAGTTGCATCCGAAGGTCAACATCAAACAAATCGTTATTGCGCTTATTGACCGTCTTGCCGCGTATGCTGCTCGCGAGGCCGAGAACGAGGACCCTGAGGAGACGAAACGGCAGGAAGAGGCTGCAGCACGCCGGCTGGCCGAGAAGGTCAAAATCCAGAAAGCGAAGTTACGGCAAAATGGGCACGTCAATGGGTCCTCGACGCCGGCTACTGAGTCCGTGGCTACAGACAGCCTAGAATGGGGGTCCGCGCCGCAGAGCCCGACGGTTGTCAACGTGACTGACAAGGAGTCCGAGGCTGCATCAGTGGATGGCACGGAAGACGGAGAAGGCGAGAAGGTATCGAAGGGAAAGGAGAAAGAACAACAGGCCCTGCGCAAGTTCCGGGGTGTCCCCGAGGATGTGAAGTTGTTCGAGGTTTTCTGGCAGCAGGTTGTGGAACTCATCAAAGTGAGCTGTGTGATGCGTGTGTGGTGGGCGTGGGCTGAAAGCTGGCTGCCAGGCGCGTCCGGACCTGTCTATACAGGACATCACAGCGCTTCTCGTTTCATTGACCAATCTCTCGTTGAGTTGCTATCCGGATAGGCTGGAGTATGTCGACCAAGTACTTTCCTTTGCGCATGACAAGATCAAGGAGTTCCGGGACAGGTGTGCTGCATATGCTGTCCCGCTCTGTGTACCTCCTGACGCCCTGTAGTCCTGATCTGCACTCACCACCGGCAACTGCGAACCTTGCGGCGTTGCTGGTTGCACCGATCAACTCATACCAATCTGTCCTGACGCTCCTCGCTTTGCAACAGTACGCGCCGCTACTGGCCTTGCAGCCATTCTCCACACGACGCTCGCTCGCGCACGCGTTAATTTCTTCTGTGCTCAAGAACGAGACCGTTATCGAAGCCTCAGAGGACGTGAACGGTATTCTCGAACTGTGCCATGTGCTCATCCGCGACCAGACGGACTCTGGAAATGCGCCTGCAGTCCCGAAGGAGTCAAGGAGGGGTGTGTACCATCCCACAGAGCGGGAGGAAATGGCAGAGGAGCAGGGATGGATTGCGAGAATGGTACATCTGTTCAGGGCCGAGTCCCTAGATGTGCAGTTCGAGGTTTGTTGAATGCAGTTTTCCCTCACCATTATCCATATTGATCCTGAATTTCTCATAGCTGCTGCAAACTGCGCGTCGGCATTTTGAGACGGGCGGCGATCGAATGCGCTATACATACCCTGCGCTCATCACTGCCACGATCAAACTCTGTCGGAGATACAAGAACAGGGAACATCTGGTATGTTCCAGTCTGGCCTGCTTCCACTTGGTAATGGCTCATGCGTGTACAGGAGGACGACTGGCAGAGCAAAGTCTCAAACATCCTCAAATTTATTCGGCAGCTCATCTCCATCCTCGGCACCCAAGTCGAAGCACCTTCAATCGCGCTGCGCCTCTATCTTCTTGCTGCGCAAGTCGCAGACGAATGCGGCTTCGAGGATGTCACTTACGACCTCTACGTTGGGGCATTCACAATGTATGAGGACAACATCTCGGAAAGCCGCGCTCAGCTTCAAGCAATCACCCTTATCATTGGCACGTTGCAGGGCGCGCGAGTGTTCACAGTGGAAAATTACGACACATTGGTCACGAAGGCGGCTTTGCATGGCGCAAGACTACTCAAGAAGCCGCATCAAGCAACTGCGGTGAACCTCGCAAGTCACTTGTGGTGGCAGGAGGCACCGGAGGAAGAGGCGCCGGTAGCCTCTCCTGATGCCGAGAAGTCAGTAACGTTGAACGAGAAGGCTGACGGTACAGCGGAGAGCTCCGTCAAGGCGGTATGCTTGGTGTCTACCGAGGTCTGTTCAAGAACTGACTCATACACGCCAGTTCCCTCACCAAGACAGCAAACGGGTGCTGGAGTGCCTTCAAAAAGCGTTGCGCATCGCTGGCTCGGCGATTGAAGAGATCGTCACGATACAGCTGTACTGCGATACGCTCGACCAATACCTGTATTACCTTGATCGTGGAGCCTCCGCTGTAAGTGTCCATGTTTGGTGTTTACAGCCCGTGCTCATCGACTGCAATTTATATGTGCAGGTGACGCCCAAGTTCGTCAACAGCCTTGTCGACCTTATCACTTCCTCTATCGACAACATTGCTTCGCCTGAGGTGCACCCATCACAGCGCGCGCCCCCGGGGTTGCTCGAGGGCGTGCAAACTCCGGATATGATCACGCGCCACTTCCGCAATACGCTTATGTATATTCAAACGAAGAAGAATGCTGCTTCCGAGAACCTGGCCGTGACCGCACGCTGGGACGATGTAGACATCGTTGGCGCGATGCTGAAGATGGGCATCGGTGCGCGGTAAACAAAGTTTCAGTGATCATGGAACGGATTTGGTGCGGAGCATGGAACCTGCGTTTGAGGGGCGGATGTGTACATATCATATTTCTTTTGCATATAATGTTTGTATGTGCTACTGGTTTTCGTATTGCTTCCGAGATGTTGTCTGCAGAACCGGGTCTGCGGGGACGTGACGCGCGTTCGGCTCGCTGCTCGGGGCCTAGTCCACCGTTGGCTAGAGCATACTTGGCCGAAGCACACACCGACACAATTCGCCCTAGGCATGAATAGTATTTATTGAAGCCCATCTACCAATACTTCAACTCACCAATCACCCTTGCAGACTGCCGTCAACGAGGCGATAATCTTTTGCCTCTCTTCTCTCACCTTCGTGGGAAATGACTCCGGTAAGTATTTTGCTATTCAGGAAGAATATGGACTCACGACTCCTGGTGATATACCAGACTATCAGTAAGCATGGGCCAGATCTACCTCCCAACTACTACACTGTTGTCATCTAGGCCGATATTCGATACACAGAGTATGCGCCATATCCTATGCCCCGCATAGTAATCATGTGTTGTAGATTGTTCAAAGGCTGGTGCTTACTTACCATCCGCTGCTGTATGCATCCAGTCTTGATTTCATAGATCGCCAATGGAACATGATAGCCTACCTTTAATTCCACTAGCTACACCTCGTTGAGGCTTACTAGCGCGAATTATTTCTTCCCTTACATACAATCAGCCTTTGTTATTCAATGTCTTGTCTCGTATAGAGCAAAAGGAGATGACGATATGTTGAATAACCAAAGAGGCAATATACTGCCGCCACTGATCGAGTGGCTGTCAGCCGATTGATCTTGCATTCGGCAATTCCCAGCTTGAGTTCACGAATAATCTACATAGTGTTTACCAGTTCATGCTCACCCTGTCTGACTGCAACAGTCTAAGTATTCCGTCTCATCTGGAATAACAATACAGATATACCAGCACTTCAGAATTGCAGCGTAGGAGATGACCTGTCATTTCACCGTTACCTAGGTATCCGTGCCAGTCGCCGATCCCTCTGAGAATCTCCAAGCACGCATTCGAACCCAAATTGCAGGCGGTCATTTTGCCCTTACTGGCTTCCACGTGAGTATTCGCTCTTCTAGCAGCTTCATCTGAGGCAGCCAAATCTCCTTTTGCGCAACGCAGAATCTTCACTCCGGCAGTATTTTTGCCTCAAGTCTTCGGGACAGCTTTGCTCTGTCTGCTTATAGAATACCGGGTTTGAGCGCAAAAAAGTCTGGTTCCTCACCCGATTCTCCTTATACTGGGCAACGATGCGTGTACATGCATCTTCACATGCTACGGGTGTCCTCACGGCGCATGCAGCGCGCATGGCTGCCTCTCCATTAGCGAATCGCATCTCTCAAATCTCACGCCATTTGGACGACTCAAAACCGCACGTTCCAGCATTTCGATCAAATCGAGACCTCATGGTTTCTAAGGTCCAGTTTCTTTTGATTTTATCAGTAGCGCCAAGTTCCGCGTGTGGCTGAGGCGGAAGTTACTCACTGCCCACTAGATCCATTTCTGCATGAGACCGAGCGGACGGGTGTCATGTGTTGTATTGAATTTTGTACAGGAACTACTTAACCTCTTTTGATCCTCGTCGACTCCAGGATAGGTCGTTCTAGGAGCAAAAACAGAGTGAACCTTCTTATTGCTATTGAGCTTCTCGGCATTATTGGCAAAAAAAAAGCATGTGTCTTCCCTCCGTAGATTCGCGCCCCATGCATGGCGCAATGACTACACTTGTCATCAATTCTACGATCTGCGCTCCGTACTCCTATAAATGCCCATCTGGGCGGGTCGTAGCAGGTGCTCTGCAGTCGGGACGCCCTCTTCAGTCATGGCCAACTTTCCAATCCAGGAGGCACAGCTCATCTCCCTCTTCATGCAGAGCACCGTCTACGGCGTCCATGTCGTGACGTTTCTTATGTGCATGTGGGCGCTCCTCCGCCCATCGAACAGCGGCAGGCCTGTGAACTGGCCCTGGCTGTCCGTCGCGGTGATCTTGTTTGCGATTGGGACAGCTGATGTGTCGTTCAACCTCTATCATAATCTGATCGCGTTCATCTATTATACTGGCCTCGGCGGCGCACAGGCGCAGTTCGAAGACCTGTCCAGCTGGGTGAACGTGATGCGGGTTTGTAGATCCATCTTATTATGTTTGCCAGTACTGACCGGTGTCGATGATTACATAGACTGTGTGGATTCTTCTTCAAGCGACGGTCTCCGACGCTGCATTGGTTCGCACAATATATTGTTCTGTAGGCATGGATTCCTTGATCGAATTTTTCTCACAGGTCTACCGCTGCTGGATCATCTACGACCGTCGGTGGTATGTGGCCCTCCTCCCAGCGCTGTTGTGGCTTGCCTCCACAGTATGTGCTGGCGCGGAGGCATACTATACTGCCACTCTCGAAGATATGTCCACCATCCCCGACACGAACATGCTGGAGCCATTGATCGCTGCGTATTGTACACTCACGCTCGCCACCAATCTGCTTTGCACTGGTACGTCGTCATTGACCTTTGCTAGAATCTCCACTCACGATGCGTATAAGGTCTCATCGCGTACCGCATCTGGCGCGTCGACAGGCAGTCCTCGCGGTTTTTCAGCCAGACGTCTCGTGGGAGCGTACGGGTCAGCCTGAGAGATGTCAACCGGATCATGATTGAGTCCGCGCTGTTGTACACCTCCGCCATCGCGGTCACCTTCATCGTGGAGCTCGCGGGAAGTAACGCCGAGTACAACGTCTCCGATGTCGTACGTCCCCCCTACTGCTGACTCTGAATACCTGATATTCTTACGTCGCGTGCTCACATGCAGGGCCTGGAGCTTGCCGGGATCGCATTCGACCTGATCATCATTCGTATTGGACGAGGCATCGCAGCGGGGCAGGTGCGCACGCCGACACCGAGCGAGACAGCTGCAGCCTCACCGATCACACTTCGCGCGATCCGCTCTCGCGGGGTGGATCCTCGGCTTGGCGGCTCAGGCCAGGGCTCGGTGACGGACATTGGCAAGGATGGCTCGCAATGCGACCTAGAGGGCGGGAGCTGCGGCAAGGACTCCCTCCCCGATTTCATGGGGGGCCTGCACGCGCTGGAAGGTGGCGATGACGACAAGATTCTGGCGTGTTGAGGGTGATGTTTGCATTGCTACGAAGATGCACTAGCCAATTTTCACGGCTATGGCGTCTGTCATCTTGGGCTGTATATTGAGCTGGAGCGTTGATTTTGAGCTTGGTCACAATCTTGACGTCCCCATGCGTTTTTGGCGGTTAGTGATCCGTCGTATACCTGCTTCGAAGGCGTCACTTGCTCTTTTGAATACGCTATATACGTAGATTTGTTGAAAGATACCCTGGCACCTGCTCTTTTGAATACGTTGTATACGTAGACTCGTTGAATGATACCCTGGTACCTTACCGTCGACGGCAGCTACCACTAGTGTATTCATACCTCTTGCAGCCTGAGGGCATCCATCTTCTACCATACTTATCAAGTATTCTACTCCCGTGTCTGTTATGAGGAGGGAGCTCTTTCAATTTCGGCGATTCAACCCGTGGCGGATCAACGGTTCACGTGCCCCTCGCGACTCGCGACGCGCAGTTCTTGGTTCGCTGCGATTCGCTCCGTACGACCATCATGTCAGCACACACACGTCCCTTCTCCGCGCGACCAGTTTCCTCGCGTCCCGCAACCAGCATGTCGCGGGCTTGGAATGCACAGTCGCGACCCACTACGGCACGTCCTCAGACAGCCGCGTCCATTAGGCATGAGTCCAGCTACATTATCGCCGTGCTTGAAGGCAGAGGTGTTGCTCGTGAAGTTGGGATCGCTGCTTTGGAGAAAGATACAGGCAGGGTGTCTCTTATACAAGTGCTAAGACATTCATAGAGTTCAGAACTCATAATCTGATGGAGTGCTCGATGAAAGCTCGCAGACAGTCCGACTTATGTCAAAACAATACATCAACTTCATCTGCACTCACCATCTCTCATTCTCGTCCCAGATACATTTCTGTCGGTTGCGGATGTCTCCCTAGCCTCAGGAGGCAAGAAGCCTCCAACGACCTCAATCCTCGTTCAATGCATGATGGAAGAGTTTGACATACCAATTGAACCAGTACTCAGAAAATATTGGAACGAGACTGCAGGTGGGCCGCTATTTCCAGATTGTATATAGTTCTCTGAAGCCCGACTTGCTCAGGGCTTGACTTCGTCAACCAACTGATCGTAGACGATGAGGAAGGCGCCGCCACACTCGTCGCCGCATCGAGCAAGTGTGTATATGCGCTCCTAATCTCATGCTATGGCCTAATTCTCCTAGATACTACGCACTCTCAGCAGCCAGCGCCCTCTTTAAGCACGCTGAAGCGAAGCTCAACCTGCGCTTTGCCGCTGGCTCTCTGCTTATTCGCTACGTGCAGGTAAATGGGACAATGATGATAGATCCAGAGACTGCCCGTAATTTGGAGCTTGTCGGCAACATGTCCAATAAGAAATCATCACATTCACTTTTTGGGTAAAGTGAAACAAATCTCGTCTCGATATAATGACTGACCATCGCTAAGCCTGCTGAACTATACCTATACTGCCATGGGTGCTAGGCTCTTACGCGTCAATATTCTTGCTCCTCTCACTGGTATACTGCTTGAAATACTCATGAACCGTATCTGATGGCGATTGCTCAGTGCACTCATCCATCGAAGCTCGATTGGACGTCGTTGAGGGTATTCTGCTCCCATTAATTCACATCTGGACCATCCTTCTCATGCATACACTCACCTAGAACTCATACAAAGCGAAGATCGCTTCAATGAAGTGAAGAACGCTCTGAAAACATTCAATAAGATGGACTTTGACAAGCTCATTTGTTCTGTGAGTGTTTGAGCCACTCATTAACGCGGAGGCACCGCATAGACGAGACATTGCGCAGCTTGCCGCCTCAGAAGCCAGAGAGACAACGAATGCGAAACCTGCTGCTGCTCGCGTAGCTCAGATGCTCAACTTGCGCAACATCGTGAAGGGCTTACCCCTCTTGGCAAACACTTTACAAGGCAGCCGCTCAGAGTTACTCAATATTGTGGCAGATGTAAGCATATTGGCTCGTTGTTCCTGCCAGCGTTGTTTGAGCATCGTCTGTTTCGCTCAGATGATCAGTGATGAACGCCTAGAGAAGATCGAACGACTCGTGCGGCAGAGTCTCAATGAGGAAGCTGTGCCCGCGAAGGTACCCGTGAAGTTCTCCTTTTCACGAGTCCATCTTACCTATAAGTAGGGTGGGATCGGTGCTGTCAACGCTCGCGTGTACGCCGTCAAGGTAGAGTATTGTGCTCTCACTCTACTTCTCTTGCTACATACATCATTTCAGGCAAATTATAACCGCTTATTGGATGTCGCACGTGAGACATACAAGGAGAATGTGGGCGACATATTCTCCCTTAACCGCGAGCTTTCGGAGCAGCACAATCTGCCAATCACCCTTGTATATCAGGAGACCGGCTTCGTGTTTGCTTTGAAGAAGACTGACCTTGAAGGAGAGCTCCCAAAAGGATTCATCAACGTCACAATGCAGAAAGGCCGATGGTTGTTTTCCAGTGTTGAATTGGTGCGTTGCATGTATCCAGCTCGCAGCGCACGTTCGATGCCGACTCTGATAATGGGAATGCAGAAAAAACGGAACGCTCGAATGAAGGACGCGCTCGATGAGACGTTGATCCTCAGTGATAGGTATGTACCATCTAGCAGAATAATAACTGATGAAAGCTGATATCTGGTGTTAGAATCATACAGGAGTTGACGGTTGAACTCGTGGTAGATATTGGGGCGCTGTACAAAGCGTCAGAGGCTGTGGCAATACTCGACATGTTGTGGTCCTTTGCGCATGCCTCCATTCGTATGTCTTAAACTCGTGCTTGTGCTGTATGTGACCTGATACTCAGCATTGTAGTTCGAAACTACGGTGAGGCCTGGCCGCATTTACGGCATGGCGTCGTTATGCTGATGGTCGTGCGTAGTGCGGCCTGAATTTACAGGGACGCTAGCCATCAAGGCAGGTCGACATCCGATACTGGAAAGCGTTCAGTCCGCAGGGACACTGGTACCCAACGACGTGTTCTGTTGCGAAGCATCCTCCTTCCAGATTGTACAGGGACCAAAGTACGTGCAGATGTCCGTTACTCCTGCTCACGATCCTCATCAGTTCCTACTTAGCATGTCGGGTATGTCGGTTATGTACTGATATCGAACATGTGTTGATAAGAAAGCTCAGGAAAGAGTACGTATCTTCGACAAATCGGTTTGCTAACAGTCGTGGCCATGTGTGGCTGCTTCGTCCCTGCCGAATATGGAAGCTTCAGGTACAGTTGATCCTCAGATCCATTCACTCCTGCAGCACTTAGTAGCAGCCATTGCCAGGTTACATGACGCCTTACTCACTCGGCTATCCAATGACGACGATATTGAGAAGAGCCTTAGTACATTTGCCAATGAGATGGCTGCATCGGCAATGATCCTAGGTCATTCCTGAGGGTCTATCTATGCGCAACAGGCTCCTGATGTGCTCCTCCGTAGGAATCGCAACTCCGAACTCACTCATTCTGATTGACGAGCTTGGTCGTGGTACCTCCCCTAGAGATGGTGTCGGCATCTCACACGCCATAGCAGAAGAACTCATCAGGTTGAAGGTATGCACATAACCCGTCCGATAATACCTTTTAACGGAGAATCGCCTGTCATGACAGTCATATGTATTTTTCGCAACGTAATTTCAAATCTGCAACAATTCGCACATTGTATCAGGATTGTAATGAAGTATTCCATCAGACACTTCAATGAATTGACCACGACGCTGTCCCGTCAACCTTCCGTCGTGAAGTAAGCCATATTGGCTCTACTGCGTTCGTACTGACCAACTTTTGCAGTCTACACCTTGCGGTGCAGGTATAGCACACATCATCCCTCAATATCATTCTTGCTCAATCCTTTCAGAAAACGCGCCGCACCACTTCCAACATTGGGATGTCCTTCCAGTACAGGTGAGTAACTTCATAATGCGACATCTATGCCTGATTGTCTCTAGGATCGTCGACGGAGCCCCAGACGACTCTGGTCACTATGGTAAGCATACTCCATTGATTATTCAGAGTCTCGTTTACGTTGTCGTCGCAGGCTTAGAATTAGCCCGCCTCGCTGATCTGCCCGAGGACGTCATTGTCGAGGCTCAACGAGTAGCAGACAAGCTCAGCGAGTTGGAGGAACGCGAACATCGCGAAAGTCACACGAATAAGATTGCAGTTCGCCGCAAGGCACTTCTCAGGGTAACACTTCCCACTGGTTCTGATATATCCGAAAAGACCGTTACTCATTCTTCTGCGTCGCGACACGCCGCAGCTCCGCACTCAGTTGACACAGGCGCTTGATCACTCGACGCTCCCGGATGAAGAACTCGCAGCATATCTCGCGCGCTTCCAGAAAGATATCACGCAGGTTCTTCATGATACTTTGTAAATTTCCCTAGATATGGCGAGCGGCGTTTTGTGAGGCTCAGAGATCATGCAAGTACGTGATGTATGTTTGCACTTGCGTGGCTTTATAATTGGGTACGGAACATCCTACGTTGGGCGGCTCACGCACAGAGCACATGTCAAAGTGTTGATCTTGTCTACACTCGCTGCTGTATGAGATAGTGCTTGTCTTGTATGGACGAGGTGGAGGAGATCCCTGCATCCTGATTCCTGACATACAGAATGTTATAATTAATTTACAACAAATTCATAGTGATACAATCTGGGCCTTCGTCGGAATTTCGGCGACTGTCTGCCTTTTTACTCGATACAATGTCACCATAAAACAATGAAAAGACAAGACGAACAGTATATCATCGGCCACGTGTCACATGTCAAACCTCATACATTAGATCGTTAGAGCTAGTGCTGTTTTCCCAGTGGTCAGCCTGAATTACCACTATTTGTCATTTCCTGAGTCGAATCCCGACAAAGTGCTCAGCACGCACCTTATCTTTGCTTTCACGCAAAGTTTTCTCATGACGGGGCATACTACGCGCTGTGTCATGAATTGTGTCGTACACATGTGCTTGAGGTGGTGCCAGCAGTGGCCCGGGATATGAAGCGCGTTGCTTGGAAGGGGATTCCAGAACTTCTTCCTTTATTCCTCCCTTAGAGACAGCAGGAGGGACATACCCCCTTGCGGCGGGTTTGTCAATTTCAACGTCGGTATAGGGACGAGGTCCATCTGAGTCACTATCGGTGTTGTTTCGGATATTGAGCACTTGCGGCAATTCGGGTGGCTTTGATTCATCAGTGACCTCAGAAGTCACAGTAGGCTGCAAGGTATTCAGAACGTAGTCTCGTCTCATGCGAGCTCCGGAATCGCGGAGTGAATTCCGTGCATTCAACCTGTACACGGAATCATCAACAAAGAACACATCCTGTCAGGGCTCAGTATATTGCAGCAGGACTCACATAGCAAGGAATGAGTTAACATAAACTAAAGAGCATATATTCAGTGAGAAGAAATTACCACGCAGGCTTTTTAGAACATACTTTTCGTCAGCAGAAATTCGATAGCGGCAACAATGAAAGTGTGTGGACTAGTCTTCAACTGGACGCAATGTTTGTGAATCGAACCCAAGACGATCTAAACTTTACCCACCGCGATGATTGCTGCGAGAGAGCAAATACTAGCTTATAGACTGAGCGCGAGCTCCGCGGAGACAGAGCGGGCTATTCAAATTCACCTCGTGATGATTCCAGTATTGACGGTATATAGCATGAGTGTGTTCAACAAGCTGTCCGTCCTGATAAAGTAACCTTTATCAGTGGATATTGTTGCCTATGACGAAGAGCATAGAACGTCTCAAAACTTACCGTCGGTACCCGGTGCGGTTGGTGTATAAAAGATAGCAAAGAGACGCCGCGATGATCGTGTCGGTCCCAGTATATACTGACAATGGGTAGTATGACATCCACTAGGATACACAAGCCGCCATCGATTATTCACGAAAGGTATAGGTTATCTCGTATAACGAAGGTCGGAAAGAAGATTGGGACTCTCACCTGATGGCCCAGTAAATCAACGGGGGTCGCGTTTGCGGGCGTGGTTCTACGCCAGGTCGGATATTGATGTACATCGAAAATAATATCCAACTTACATCTCATAGGAAATCACTGTGAGGAGCAAGCGATTTGTATTATGCTTCGTGAAAGACTTTGTCACCATCTTACCTAGACTAGCGGCTGTTTGGTAAAATCGGTGACGGTGAGCACTTTCGGAATCAGAGTTGACAACAACACGTGGCTCACCATATCCAGCGCATACAAATATGGACTGAGATTTTGTGCCGTCAGAAATCATGTCTCGTCAAAGGCCTAAAAAGAACTCACAGCAATACCAGGTAGGAAGTAGCGTAGGCCGGAATCGCGATTGGCTGAAGCATCCACTAGTGTCTTGAATTGAGACGATGTCGGCTGGACGCACAGATGGAGAAATAGACGTACATATCCAAATGCGGTGGACATACAGTCTATGGTACAAGGAACTGCATCAGAGCTTCGTTACTTGCACACCAACCACAGGGCATACGTTTGCACAGAGGATATGCAGATCGTCTGCCGTCACTACCATTAAATTGGGAAAATGCTCGAGGTGCTTGCCACTTACGCTCGAAATGTCTTGAGCCTGCCAGTGCTGGTGTTAGGAATGCAGGCATGAGCATGCCGAAGCACATCAACAGACCTTGAAGCTCCAGTTGATCACTAACAATGCCACAGGGTTGAAATAGTTCGTGATGAAATACTGATATATCAGGTGGAAGGAGAATGCCACACATAGCGCGTCGATGGTCCTGTGTAGGCGCCACGAAATGTTCCGGAATTATAGCAGGGTGGAACGAGCGGCGTGCTCGACGTACCATAATGCGCATACAGAGAACTTTGTCCACAAGGGGTCTTTCGTGTACGTCTTGAAGTATATGTATACCTGCAGGTTAGTGATGCCGAATAGTCTGTGCGACATGAGGAGATCTCAGTATTGTGGCTGTTGTTAGAGGACGTACATCGACGACATCAGCACCCCCAGGAGCATCGCACCAAACGAGCTGTCGAAAGCAGACGACATCTTGGTATGATTTTCGGCAGCCAATGTTGAACCAGGGCGTCGTAATCCGCACCGTCGGCAGCAGGAGGGCTGCGTGAGGTTCCAAGCAGCCGTCAGACTGGATGGTGTCAGTGCTCTTAAGCACTCGTGAGAAGCCCGGAACAATCCCATCCTGACCTTCAGAAGTGGCCTGAGATGGCTGCGGGCGGCAACTCAACTTGCATTCTGGGCTATGCGTACAGGATTTGGGGAGTCCTGCACGCGATAGGGCCAGATTGCGTCCAGGAAACGGAAGCACCGAACCTCATGACGCTCCCAGCGCTCAGAATATCATCCATCTGTCAAGGAAAGATGAATGTCACGACGAACATAGATTCGATGGTCTATATCATTCCATAGCGATATACGGAAGGAGCTGTATCCGGGAGACGTGCATGAGCGGCCTCGACCACGAGGCATCATCATATGGAAGCATCTTTTCGAAATCCACCGACGAACACAACGCAAGGTCGAGTCAAAGGACCGGTGAAACCCGGATGTCAACATGACACTACACGCAGTAGTGCAGAGATACACAGTGACATTGTTGAAAACACCAGCGTACGCACGTCTAGTGGAAGTTGCCAATAGAAACGTTGTTCTGCGGTCTGACCTACGTTCCTGTAGAGATAAATTCGCGTATGCGCGGCTCTTCAAGTACGAGGCTGAGCAGGACCATAAACAAACAAGACCAGCGCTCATTTTCGGACGACACTGCTGAAAGGTTGCAATTCGTGCCTAGATGGCATGCGGGGTATGTATAGGTGTCGACGCAGGGCTTCTCTGCTGCCTCGAGGATGTCCAGCACACGCCTACGCCGCGTTCTGGGCCTGCAGGCACGGGTGATGGTCCACGTCGGGGAGCTTGTCTGAGTTGCCGGGGGGGGGGGCAGTGACAGGGGAGACGGGTAGTCATCAGCAGCAGGCCTGGCGGGGATGCCCTGTATAGACAAAGACTGTAGCGCCCCATGCCGGTGTATTCCTTCTTACCACGGGAATTTAGATAGTAATGATACCTCTGTCCGCATCCTACAGACCATGTCGCAAGTACCTATCATCATGAGCCTGTACAAGCACACAATATGCGCACGTACAATAGATGGACCCTTGTCGGCGATGACGCCTGCGACCTAATCGGCTAACACATCAGGGGACCTACAAATGCTGAATGAACAAAACGGTGATGTCCCAGCATCAGTATCGTGTGTTATACGGCCGACATATATCTACGTTCCAGTGCCACAGATGGGTTGTACAACTTCAAGCTGTACTTTCAGCGCTTTACGGGGACACGCGCGTCACATGATCGCTCATGCATCCGACCGTCACGGAAGCCAGTCAGACACAAGTGCTTCGCAATGTCGACATCTGGGGTTCCATTCCAACTTCAGCACTTGGGTTGTGCCACCTGATAGCTGCCTTGGACAAATGAATTCAGAAATCTGAGAGTGCTGATATAGCCTGCCTTTTTGCTCTTAGCTTCTGCTGCAATCATCACGCTTCGACGTTCACTTGTTATTGCATAATGTTCAGGTTCCGAGCCGTAGAGAACGTCCCGTGTTGGAAATCACTCCTATACATCGGACACTACTAGTTCAGCATCACGTACTATCACTAGTTGCCAATGTGACGTTCCACGAACACCCTTGCGGACAAATGCGTTTCTCTCCACGCCGGGGGATCAAAAGAACACCTCGGATAAGGCTTTTCATTTAATCACTTCCGGAATGATCCTGCTGTTCGCCTTCCCCGCCTCGTCATGACATTCTAAATCGCGTCATGATTAGGCGGAGCTCGTGAACCGCGCCCACATAGACACACTAACGCGGAGGCATGGCTGATGCATGGGGGCTCACAATTTGGTACAAAACATACGAGCAGGTGGTCTATTCCCTAAGTCTGTGTTCCTGAGGCTCATTGTATTGAGTGAAGTATTGAGATAGTCATAATAGCTATATTATGCATCGAATGAGCATCCGTGTGATGATGTCGTCCGATGTATGTGCGTTGTGCTGCTCGCTATCCGAATCCTCAATATGCGCTCCTTGCTTTTGGTGCACGTCCCCGCCGCTTTTCCGATCAAATAAGAGGAGCTCATCAGAGGTTGCTAGAGAGTGTGCCCACCCTTTCAGCACAGGAAACAGAACCGATTATATGCAGGTAGTTGGACTGAAAATGCGGCGGAATTTGCTCAAAATACTCACCGCAGTGGTACGTATGATGATCTTAAGTGCTGTCGTACTTGCCAACAAATGCTGAGATACATTGTACAGATCGTGAGACACATGTACATATCCCAGTACAACGGCAAGTTACGTATACCAAGTGTCCGCCGGATGCACGCAGTGCACATGGCATGAGGTCCATACAAGACAATGTCCACTAGCATGAAATTTCATATCAAACTGTCATCCCGACCGAGACGATTGGAGGGTTCGACTCTACACCGATAGAGTCGATACCATGTCAGACTTGCTAAACTCCGGGACCGAATTGAGCGCGTAGCCTTTCTCCCCATGGTTGACCTCCTTCCACACCTTCCCGCATCCCAGGAGACGGCCGGGATGGAAGATGTTCAGCGAGTACATTGCGATCGTGATCATACCCGCGTCGAAGATGTCTGGAGTGTTCGTGATTTAGTTGTCGATATACAAAATGGTCAGATAGCGGGAAACGTACTGAACAGGGCTTGAGTATGAATGACGACGCCGTGCCAGCCGTCAGCGAGCTCCTGTGATGAGGCTTAGTGATGAGATAATGTGTGTCAATGGAAGGTCTACGTACAATGGTCCTGTAGATCGAGCTTTTACATGACTGATATTAGAGGCCATGGAGCGACGAAATGGACATCGAACTCACCGAATGTAGATGCAGACACCGCTGATGATGAGGGCCAGGATCATGCGCTTCGTCGACTTGTCCAATGTGTATCCTGTCCTGGTGACCTCCCGCAGTGGCCTGTCGTGGAGGTAGCGCCAGAGGAACTCGGTCGCC